TACATTGTTTCATGAGAAAATCAATCCACAAAATATGATTTTTTTAAATAAAAAAAACTACAAAATTTCCATATTCAAAAGAAAATCGATGATACATTCTGGGAAACATCAATGTGAATCTCTGAATCAATAATGATTCATTACGTAATCAAGTTAGAGTAATCCAAATCTTCAAGCATTGGTTTTTTTGTAGGGATTTTGTTTGATTGCATGGAGGATTTCATCATGAGCTGACCACCGTTAGAGAACCACTGGAAAACCTGCAGGGAGTACTGGACAGCTGTTTTGTCCTAGTTTAGGACTCTTCATGAGTACGCACCCACCGCCAGGGTTTGAACCCAGGGCCTTTCGGTTACAAGGCGAGCTCGTAGACCATTGAGGTTGAAGATTGGGCAGTAACTCATCGTGGAAGACATTGCGAAATGATCGCACTATGTCGTGAATCGGCAGAAGTTAGAGTTCAAGGACCATTGGATCGGATCCCACTGGCTCCTGAATGTTCTACGGGGTCGCTGGCCTTGTAACCAGAAATTGCTGGGTTCGAACCGTGGCTGTGGGTGCATACTGATGAAGAGTCCCAAACTAGGCTGATAAAACAGCTGCCCAGTACTCACTGGTGGTTTTACAGTGGTTCTCCAACTGATGCCAGCTCGTGATGATGAAATCCTCCATGCAATCAAGTAATCCAAATCACTGCTTTAATTGTCAATTTCAACCTTATTTCTCTCTTCCTCTCTTTCTGAATTTGTCGTCATTGTCTTCAAACATTTCAGACTTAATCAACCGCCTGAAAAACAAAAGAAGATATAAAGTCAATTCAATCGAATGTCTACCCAAAAACCATTTTTCAAAAGTAGATCTTTTTCATATTGATGTTCTATTATTGATTATCGTTACCCTGGTTACAACCATGTGTTCATGTTTCGCTTCAGATTAACTTATATTGTCTTAAAATAAATGAACTATTCAAGATGGTGTAGACATCATTAAATTTTTTTTAATATTATGATAAGTGTAATTATCATTATCGAAAAAGAAGAAAGGTTTCTCATGTACGTCTTCCAAAAAAATGCACATCCACGGAATTTCAACAAAAGATATATACCTCCAAGACAACCAACCAACCAATCAATTCAAAGGCCTCATCAAGACGATCACAAAGAAAATCGTCCTACGACATGTAAAATATATCTCAAAAATCACTGCAAGACTCTTCATAAACCTAAGAATTGATGTCGCACACAAAACAAACAACACACTTCACTCAGCTGATGATGACATTCTCTTTCTCTCGCTCATATCGCTGCATACAGACAACCATGGACATCAATTCCACTGGGACAACCAACATTCAAATTGGTTACAGGATTTTCATCATGAGCTGACATTAGTTAGAGAACCATTGGAAAACCTGCAAGGAGTACTGGACAGCTGTTTCGTCCTAGCTTGGGACTCTTCAGCAGTACGTACCCACCGGGATTCGAATCCAGCAACTTCTGGTTACAAGGCGAACGTGAATTAGCGAAAGTTATAATCTAAGGACCATTGGATCGGGTGCCAGTGGCTGCTGAATGGTCTACGAGCTCGCCTTGTAACCAGAAGGTCCTGATTCGAACCCCGTTGGGTGCGTACTGCTGAAGAGTCCCAAACTAGGACGAAACAGCTTTCCAGTAGTCCCAGCAGGTTTTCCAGTGGTTCTCTGACTAATGTAAGCTCATGATGAAAATCTTGTTACCAATCAAATCCTTACAAAGCAACACTTGAACAACATTCAAATATTAGACAGAGGAAACACTGAGAATACTAGAGAATGTTTAGAAGCCCGTCTGGCAGTCCAGTGAATCGTTGATCAACAGACACACTGTCATAGACAAAATTTATCAGTCTGTAGGGAGGATATCTCAGACATACAAAGGATCAAACTTCAGGTCAATTAAACAATCAGTACCGATATCAATACAAATAGTAGCCTAGATGATGTGAATAAAACTAATCACGTTGAAGGTCACCACCCACTAGGTGAGATGACTAATAAACTCGTGGAGAAATCTAAAAACTCACTTCACCTAAAAATCGAAGTATGCCTGCTAAAGATTTTGCCTAGTAGAGCAATCAAAGCTTCGTGAATAAACTACCCAACTTACAAAACACAACCATATCAAAATCATCATTCCTTTGATCGTTCCTAGTGGAATATATATATATATATATATATATATATATATATATATATATAGAGAGAGAGAGAGAGAGATTCAACAGCACGCCTGCATTTCATTCTGCAGTTCTCTTTTATATCTGGCCCTGAGATTGTCTGTAAGCTTCTATTCCTTCCTCATCACACAATCTCATCCATGTCACCTTCAGACTCATGCTTAATTTGTCACTTCCTATTCATATTCTATTCGACAGCCTACCTGGTGCGTGATCTCTCCATTATGTGTACAATTCTTTTGCATTTCTTGATAAATATTTGTTAGGCAATCGGTTTTTAGTTGATTCTAACCCCAAAGTTCATTCTCTCTTTCCCGTCAGGCAACGATCTGATCTTTATTATGGAGCTAGCAAAGTTGGCTGTTGACCAAAGTCTAAAGCTTTTTCAGGATACGTCTCATAATACTGGTATCAAGACCCTAAACAATGTAGAAACACTGATAGACTTGATATTGGTGTTGAAAATCTGGAGTTTTTTTCTTTATATAGAGTGCAACAGATTTCCATATTGATCTCAGATCAATGAAGTCCTGTCTGTCTTGCTGTTTTCATCCTGGTTTTGAGATCTTTATCCATGGCACTGCATAGAGTTGAAATGATGCTAACTAGATAAGGGAAAAAAGTGAACTCATCCAAATTCCTCCAGTTGATTGGTAGCTGTCGTTGTTTTTTGAAAGTTGGTTATCTCCATCTTTTTGATCTTTTCTATGTTCACTTGAAGTCCTATCTTCTTTGTCTGCCTCATCTACTGACTTGTAAGTTTCCATCTCTAGGTCTTCGAGTTTGTTTGACATTAGACTTAAATGATCCACGAAGTCAACGTCGCCTAGAGTCTTCTTAACGGTAGTCCAGTGTATTCCCACATTCTCGTTCCTCACGAATCTAAAGGCGCATAATCCAGGGCACAACAATCTGAAATATCAGGTGAAGTAGTTTCCAATTTAATTCATGGTAGACTCTGTCGACGGCCTTTACCCAGGTCGATGTGGTTTAGGTAAAGTTTTGACAGTCATTCTAAGCTTTATTCGAAGAAAAAAATGATGCAAATGCTAACTATGATAGTTCAGCAAATCCGAATAAAATCATCACAGAAAGTAAGAATGGACTAACTACTGAAGAATCCTGTTCAGATGAATTAGATTACTTCTATCAAATGGTGTGCAGGCTATGTGTCAAGGCAGGATTGGTTTCAGATACTGCTTATTCTCCTAATAAACGGAGAAGCCGACTACTGTCTTTGAATAAAGCGAGAACAACATTGATTTGTGTAGAATAACATGGTACCATCATTTATTTCGTTGGATTCTCGTCAGCTGCTTACAGCCTAAATAAATTTTCAGGTTTAAGTACAGAAACGTGTTAACATACTTGCAAATTTTACATGTTGTTGTCAGTTGACAGAAAGTTTCACAATTAGTAAACAGTGCTCAGAAAATTGCGCTTATATAGTTTTCACACAGGCAGTTCAAGTTAAAAAAATAATAATAATAAATAAATGTATGCATATAATAAAGATGGGATTTGCGTTGGATGCATAGTGACTAATAAGTTAGGTAACAATGCACTGAGTTGAACTCAAGTCATAGAAACAAGAGACAAGCAAAATTACAGAATATAAAAGAGGGTGAGGATAAAGACAAAGATTACGCAGTCAGATGAGATAAAAAATAAGACATCCAGTTACCAAGGCAAGGAAAGACTAATAACTGATTCTTTCTGAACACATAGATCTGGTTTCAAGCGTTTGATAGAAATTGCTTCGGCAAACCTGAGGAGAATGGAGCTCCTTTGTCTATTGATAATTTTGAAGGATTTCTCGATTTCCACCTGATGACCCGTGTCGAGAAGATGTCTGGTAATAGCGCTGCTTTAAGAGTTTGTTCCCTTGAGACGTAGGCTTTTCGGTACATGTTCAGAAAATCGGAGGTGTGCCCTTCTTTCTGTTCTCCCAATGTAACTGCTCCCGCAGATACACGTAAATTTGTATATACAGTTGGAGTTAACATGAGAGGGTATCTATCGACTTTTGACTGCACCAAAGAGCATGTTGTTCGATGGACGGGAACCAACTTAGCTACAGGATAGACCAAGGAGCTCCATTCTCCTCAGGTTTGCCGAAGCAATTTCTATCAAACGCTTGAAACCAGATCTATGTGTTCAGAAAGAATCAGTTATTAGTCTTTCCTTGCCTTGGTAACTGGATGTCTTATTTTTTATCTCATCTGACTGCGTAATCTTTGTCTTTATCCTCACCCTCTTTTATATTCTGTAATTTTGCTTGTCTCTTGTTTCTATGACTTGAGTTCAACTCAGTGCATTGTTACCTAACTTATTAGTCACTATGCATCCAACGCAAATCCCATCTTTATTATATGCATACATTTATTTATTATTATTATTTTTTTAACTTGAACTGCCTGTGTGAAAACTATATAAGCGCAATTTTCTGAGCACTGTTTACTAATTGTGAAACTTTCTGTCAACTGACAACAACATGTAAAATTTGCAAGTATGTTAACACGTTTCTGTACTTAAACCTGAAAATTTATTTAGGCTGTAAGCAGCTGACGAGAATCCAACGAAATAAATGATGGTACCATGTTATTCTGCACAAATCAATGTTGTTTTCGCCTTATTCAAGTTTATCAAGGGGAATAAATGCATGAAGTATTGTCTTTGTGTAAATATCCAAAAGTTACCATAGATTACGTGCTACAACGTTTAGTCCGATACAATAAGGATATAAATTTCTTGATCTACTCTATGAAAATGAACATTTTGAAAAGTTAATCGATTGGCTTACAATAATCAGTTTAACTGCTTTAACTAAATCAGATGATAGTTTAATTGAAACACACAGTAATACACCGTCAGTGATACAACTTTTATTCGATGGAGGCGAATTGACAAATTGTTCTTGTAATCCAGGTAATTCAGGATCTGAATCATCAATTCCAGAAGTTGTCAATGGTGGTGGTGGCGGTGTGCCTACAGTTCATCTAGAATGTCCAGTTCATCTATTAGCTGCTAAGGCAAAGTTAAACTTTCGACACCACTAACAACCAATCAGAAAACGACCTTGAACGGACTAATCACATTAAAGAGGCATATATGATGAATAGAAATGTATATTTATAGAAAAAAATGCATAAAATAGATAATAAAAAAGTTACATGGGATATCTTTCTCGAACATGTGAGAGAAACATCTCCCAGTTTAGCATGGGACTGTCAATGGAGAAGTTACACCACATCCTGTACATATATTCATCTAAATGACCATAAATGAGATCCTTTTGAGATCCATTTATGGCGCTTATCCTATTTTTGAATCTGCCCCAAAACCTTTTCTTTTTTACCAGCACTGTTTCATCGAAATGCATGATAACGTCTTCTCCACCCAGCAAACAAGTGATTTTCTTCATTTTCCATGATGCGATGTCTCTGCAATACTGGTGCCACTGAACTGTTGAGACAGGCTGTTTCAACACCCAGTAGTTGCAGATATATAAAATCTGGGTTAGGGAGAGATGTGACCTAGCGAAAAAAGTTCCTACGAAATATTAAAATAATCAGCCTACCCTCTATAATGCTAGCACGCTTCAAACATATAGCACAACGATGAACAAATCCACCAGTTGATCTGCTATAGCTTTTTAAAGTCATGATACCACCATACGAACAAGTTTGCTCCTTCCGGAGCAACCTTAAATCCAGGCAATACTGGAAAACACTATCCTCCTCGAATTGCAACCGTAACCTTGTAAGGCCACGCATTTGAAATGAATCAAGCGCTATACAACATTGAACTACGTTCACGAGCCTCACTGGATAATCCGCTGATTGGTAGTTAGTGGTGTCGAAAGTTTAACTTCGCCAAGATTATGATTCATTGAAGTCATTTCCTATTTATTGTCCAGATATTTATAAATTAAATATTTCAAAAGATATCAACGAAAATTATGGCTCTGATATTGTCTTTGTAAATGGTATGCTTGGTATTGTCTTTTATACATGGAGACAACATGATTCAATGTTAACTACAGATGCAACATAGTATACAAAATGTTGACCTAGAGACTGGCTTTCTCGTCAATTCCCTCGAGCTCTAATAATTGGTGTGGAGACATCAGTGAAACCATTCATTTGGCATTTGATTTGTCCACTGCAGAAGATGAGGTGTACATTAGATAAACGAGCTGTAGCAGTGTAATTTGATCAGCATATGATTTACTCTCCCTGAATTCAGCTTGTTCCAGATGGAGTTCTACATTCAAGGGATCTTTTATTCCCTTCAGGATGATGTGACTTAATAGTTCCCTTAGCTTAAACAGAAGTATGATCTTGTACTAATTCTTACACAGGCCTAAGTCTCCGTTCTTTGGTAGCTTGACAAGTTTGCCCTTCTTCTAATCAGTCAATGCATTTCCTTTGTTCCTCTTAAACTTTTAGCATCAGTGCTGGAAGTGTAACAACAGAAGACTAGGGCCAGGCAACAGATCGTTTTATTACGGAAATCAACGCGTATTTATATAAATTTCACATACATTATTATAGCCTAGTCAAGTAGACAAACGCAGTCTTCTGATTGGTTGTTTCAGGTAACCTCGGAAAATGGTGCCATCTGTCTGCGAATCATATTTGCCTACGTTAAGTCTGCTGTGATTGGTTGTTGAATCAGCCTTGTTCATATTTTCTCACGGCCAATATTAGTGACCTAGACATTGAGGTAGATTAATGTCTACTAATTGGCTAGCAGCCCACTCTCATCACAGAAGGAATATCCACTGAGTTCTAGGAATCCATTTCCACTGGTACCATGGAGGAATTCCACCTGCTCCTGCAACCTTCCCGACTGTAACTTTATGACATTCAAAACTTCTACTTTTGTTATTTCTATTTCTTATCAGTTACGCGTTGTCAAAGTGAAGACAAGAAAGTTTGTCTGAAAATCTTTTTTTGAGTAATTAATATTTTTCTCTAATTCTTCTGGTTCGTAGACACTATATGTTAGTTACACCTAAGAGATTTCAAAATACTGGTAAAATCTTGCTAGAAAGCTGTCATATTCAATGATAACAGCAGAGTATAATGTGCCTATTTGATGTCTACACCCAATTAAATCAATGAGGTGATTTTAAACAAAATAAATACAGGTCTTTTATTTCTAAACAATATGAAGTTGACGAGTCCTGAATTGAACAAAATGCGCACCCTAATCGATTCCTCTGCTAGTCACCAACCTCCGGTTAGCCTTTAATTACATGCCCAGACATTGTCGAAGCATCTGCACAAGAAACCAACAGACATGTCAACATGAGACCGAGCAATTTGGTTCAATCAATCGATGGGAAAATCTCAAATTCAGTTAAATAATTAATATGACCCGTTGCACAAAAGGTGGCTCTCGTGATAACGCTTAAAACTATGGTCCCTTGGTTCGGGCCTAGATGGGAACATTATCACTCCCTGGGAAATGCAGGTACCTCCACTTGCTCAGTAGTCCCAAACAGGACGAAATGTGAATCTTGGATTCCAGTGCTAGTCACCATCAACTAATTAGAAGGAAGAGAACACGAAGTTCAGCAAAGATATCTGCCTTATCGTCGATTTCATTTTCAAAAGCTTACAATCGCATTTAAATACTTAATTTAACGTGGATACAATTCTTGTTTGATTCCACATAATTACGATGGCGAATAAAAGGTGATAATTATTTTCAACTAGATATGGTTTACGAGAGGCTTAGAAACGAAATTACACAGGATTAGAAAGGATAACAAGTGTGTAAAAAGTGAGCATGGAAACAAAATTAAAATAATAATTTTCAACTTGAGATGGGAGTTAGAAGGTGCGAATATAGATTACACAGGATTAAGATATAATTGTAAAATGGTTATTTTAAACGAATTATAATTGTGATTAGAAGGGGCATGGAAACAAACTTAAAATAACTGTTTTTATAACGGAAAAAAATGGGGTGAATCGAATGAAGACAGAGGGAGTAAGAATCACACATACAGGGAACGAAAAAAGATCAAAAGGAAAAAGAGAACGAACAAAGAAAAAAAAAACGGAAGCTAAGGGAACACATCAAACTATGTCCATGGTAGTTGTAGAGGTTGGACTAATTTCGTTTGGACACACAGCTCCACACAGCTTTTTGATGCATATTGCAAGGGTTCCTGCAGTACAGAGAAGTCGGAAACATACTGCTCTTGGTAGGTTCCTGTTGACTTTGTAAATTATTTCGAAAGAATCAGTTGAGATGTTGTGGGAGGTGTTGATCAGATGTTCAATAATGGCAATTCTGATTGAACCAGTGCCTCGTCTTTGCAGCCACGCTGGGTAATGTTCTCTAGCACGTTTTGAAAGGACGCGCATACAACGACCTATGTACCTAACTCCGTACGGGCAAGTGAACTGGTATATGTACATTGAATTGGTCATATGCGAGAGTTTGTCCTTTGCGTTGTCTCGAAGTATTGGATGGCCAGAGAATGTCACTCTTAGTGTTGTTGCAGCGAAGGTCTTCTTTAAAGAGCTGAATATTCTTCTCTTTAGGATGTCGGCTGCCACATCTCCCCTGAAATTCACGTTCAGATAAAGCGTTTTCTTTGGTGCTGAATCGTATTCTTCTCTTTTAGGTTTAGGTTTCATGTTCTTTTCGACAAAACGTGTCAGGTAGTCATTTTGAGCCAGGATATTTTTGAGGGATAAGACCTCCTTTTCCATGCAATAGCTGCTGAAGATTTTCCTAATGCGATGGGTTAGTGCGATGATGAGAGCTCGTTTTCGACTCAAAGGTATCCAACTATAGAAATGCGTTAGTTGGTCATTCCATGTTGGTTTTCTGTGGATGGACCCCTTCAGGGTTCTATCACCTCTTCTTGTTAATTCCACGCCCAGAAATGAAATCCTTGAATCGTTTTCTAATTCCATTGTGAATTTAATCGAAGAATGGTAATTATTAAATTCTTGTAAGATGCAGTTTAGGTCAGAGTTATCGTAGCAGACTATAAAGTTATCGTCAACGTACCTTTTGTACACTAGTAACTTGCTTATTGTTGATTTTAAAACTCCACTCTCCAAACTGGCCATAAAGCAGTCTGTTAAAAGCGGGCCAAGAGAAGATCCCATTGCAATTCCGTCTTTCTGTCTGTAGATGTCGCCTTTGAAGGTGAATTGTACATTCAGCGTGCATCTCAGCAACAATTCCTTCAGATATGATATTAATACTCCGACACTTATATTTGATTTCTCCATATAATGGCACAGAAAGCAAATTATTTCTGTTAGTGACACGTTGGTAAAGAGAGATTATACATCTAGTGATAACATTCGTTTATCACTTTCATTCAAATCTTTTATACATTCAATGAACTCGAAAGTATCGCGAAAGGATTATTTGCATAGGCTCAAACATTTCGGACAACCATTTGGCGATTGGATGGTATAGTGACGCTGAATTGTTCAGACTTATATCTATCGGTCAATAATTTCGGCTATGATTAAAAATACTACTTTTATTTTAATGGGATAAGCTTTTAAATCACTCTGTTTTATTGACAGATAGCTTTTAATTTACAAATAACAAAATATGATATTTATAAAACAATTTAAACTATAGGGTATGCATATTAAAATGCATAATTATAGTCTGTAGAGTGTTAATATGACTAAATATTTCATCACGTCTGTAAAATGATTTATCCATATAAAATGAATTGGTATTTATGTAGTAGAGGAATTCGCCTCTTCTCAAATAGTCATATTTAAATTGTTTATAATTGAATTTTAGATTTTCCCCCTCTTGATTGACTGGACTGAGGTGCTCTGACTCAGGTTAACATGTCTGTCGGTTTCTTGTGCAGATGCTTCGAGGGTGTCTGAGCGTGTAATTAGAAGTTGATTGGCTGATAGTGGCTAGAAGTGGAATCCATTAGGATGCTCATTTCGTCCTATTTGAGACTTATGGTCAGCTGGATCTATCTGCGTTGAGTACTAGGTAAGGACGGGGAAATCAATCGACGAGGCTGTGAAGCTACATCGACTGAGAT